ATATATATATATGACGATATATATATATATATATATATATATATATCAACTTAATCTATTGTTGATTGTACGCAGCACCTTCTACCGTTAAAACAAAAAAAAAAGGGGGAAAAGGAAAGATATAAGTACTCCATTACCGCAAGTCAAGACCAAGTCGGTAAGTGGGAGAGTACCTTGGTGACCCAGCGGAGGATCTCCTGTGCCGGCAGTCATCATGGATGACTATCCCATCCAGGGCGTGTTGGCCCTTTCTGTATTATTGGGGCCCCTGTTCAGGCTGATGTTCCCACTGGGGTTCGGACGTGTGTGCACGTCCCACATGTTGATGCGATCAGGAGCAGTCAAGTCTGGCCCCACACCTGCGGAGCAAGCCGAAATTGACCGCAGGCTAGCAGAAAAGAAAAAAGAAAAGGAAACAAAGAAGAAACAGAAAGAAGAAGAGGCAAGGAAGAAGATGAAAGAGAAGATGGAGAGAGAGTTGGAAGAAGAGTTGAAGAGCATAGAAGAAGAAAAAGAGACAGAACGGGAGGAAGAACAAACATTGCAAAGACGTTGTCCCATCGACATTCCGGGGAGTAGTACAGCACAGAAACTTCCCGTTGAACCCTTGAATTGGGCTAATCAATACTACTACTCCAGCGAATTACTGAAAGAGTCGGAAGAAGAACGTGATGTGTTCATTGCCAAGCTGGCCACGGTGACAGATACCGTTGTCAAGGGGGAAACCCGGGGAGGGGTCGCCTGTCCGTCGCTGAAGCCAGAGGCAGCGACGTCTGTCACCCGCCGTGCCCACATCAGAGGTCCTCAGCGGCGAAACAGGGGGGGTGCTCCGATTTATCTGTCATGCTTCCACTAAAAGACTGACTCGGAAGATATTGACTGCGTACTGTAAAAAAAAGGAAAATAATAATATCAGGATAAATTTAGTTGATTTAGCTTGCAAGTCCGAGACCTCACTCGAACCCCGATCGAGGCCGTTACGGCAGATCCTCGGATTTGCAAGGATAAAGCTGTGATGTACCTTGCGGAAATAGGCCACCAAATTAACTGTCTGTTTCGAAGGACATTAACAGCGATTAACGACAGCTAGAGAAGRCGGAGTATTTAACACAGCGAGGGAGAGCTATCGAGCAATCCCACGTGAACAGGGACAGGAGTAAACCCCAACAGAAAATTTAGCAGTGGTCCCACAATTAAACCCGCAGGAACGCCTTGTCAGTGCTCTCGAATGACTTTACCGCTTTTCCACACCAAGAGTTCGCTTTGAAATTAATACTGCTATGTYCATATCTTGGTCATTTAGGAGTCCAAATAATTGAAGCCTCTGTTCTGAAGGCCCGTCGAATCCSATGAGAACAGATCTTGACTATATGCTGTAGCTGAGAAGCCACGACCACTAGACAATGATCATGCAGGGAAAAGCTGCCCGGAAGTCCTCTTGTCACTCATGAGTGATACAGCATCCAGYTGTCGACGTTACTCCCGGCTCTCTCTCTCCCCCACTCTGTGAATCACTCACTCTAGCTCCACCTGTCGTCCTCCCTGTCTTACACGATGATAGACGCTGAGTTTTCCTACTGCTGGCGGGAACTATCAAGTTCATTTGTGAATGTACCTGGTCGCATTCATGCGCAGGTTAATTAATTTCGGAATAAAGTAATCAGAACCTCACYTACTCTCTTTCCTGCCTCCCTCGCACACTCGCACACGCAAGCAGTTTCATCCCGCTGTTACACATGATCTCACAGGCACTCCTGTTCTTACATGCACATACGTTTCGCTCCACGAAGAGGGCGCTTTTGGGCTCACGTTCTGCACACACTCGGGATGTTTCCACCATCACTCCACAATCTCACGGACCCAATTTCGAATGAACCTGGCCGCACCCGTCGGCCTGGTGCACTAGCTTTAGAGGACAAGAAAACAGTCTTCCACCAAGCGTCACTTAGTCTTCGTCTTTCTCGCGAAACGGTTCTCTTTCTTCACGGCCAGGGCCCTCTCTTTCTCAGTCATC